CAAGGTCAGCATACAGAATTCAGTTTTATTTCTCTACATTAGCATTGTACAATTAAAAATAATAATGAAAAATATATGCTCTCATTTCAACAAAAATGAAATACTTGTAAGTCTAATAAAACATACTGGATATGTAAGCTCACTCCAGAATATACTGATGAAAAAACCAAAGGAGATCTAAATATATAGCAATACAATATAYTTATATTGGAAGACTTAACCTAGTAAACATGTCAGTACTTCCCAAACTCATCTGTAGGTTAATACAATGCAATAGAAATCTAGCAGGATTTTCTTTGGCATATATGGATGAAATTATTCTAAAATTTATACAGAAGTACAAAAGAACTAGAGTAGATAAGCAAGGTAAGGAGATAATGAATTTAGAAGAGTTGCACTTCCTGATTTTAAGACTAGCATGTCACAGTAATCAAAATAAGATAGCACTGAAAAACTGATAGCCACATGGATTCCTAGAACAGAATAGACCCAAAGAACACGCCCACATGAATGTGGCATTTGATGTTCAGGATAATGCAGATTAATTCAGTGGAAAAATTAGGTAATGATATTAGAAAAAAATTGCCATCCATATGTTAAAGAGGAACTTTGATGAAACCATAAACCTTATGTAGAAACTCCCACAAAATAGATTATAAATCTCAATGTAAAAGGTACAACTATAAAATTATTAGTAGAAAATGAGAGAAACTTTTGTTAACTGGAGTTAAACAATAAGTTTGGAGACATGACTGACCCAGAAAGTATTTTCCATAAAATAAAAAATAGTATCTGCTAACCTTCATCAAGCTTTAAAACTGAAAATTAAAAACCAAAATTTGATCATAAGACACCATTAAAATAAAAGAAAGTCAATCTATAAAATGGTAAATATTTACAAGTTATGTGTTCAAGGAAGGCCTTGTACCCAAAATATATCAGTAAAAAGAAAGCGAGCAGCCCAATTTTAAAAAATTGGGTAAAAGTCTTGTAGTTTGCTAAACTACACATAAAAATAGCAAATAAATACATAAAAAGGTTTCCATTATCACACCCCTTAGGAAAGTGAAAATTACACATCTGAAATCTACAGCTGTTTTATTTTTAGGAGCTCAAAACTGGAAACCACTCATATGTCCATTAAGGTGTAATAGATAAATTCTGATACACTCAGACCATGGAATACTCTCAGCAGTGAAGAATATTCATTAATGACTGACTCCTGTAACAACTTATGTGATTCTCAAAGGTCTTATGTTAAGCAAAAATACTATGGTATTTTTAATTATTCTATTTATAAAACATTTTCAAAAAGATTGAATTATAATGATGAGGAAGAGATCAATTATTATTGGATGGGGGGTTCTGAGGTGGGTTTAACTCTAAGGGGAAGATCCTTCTTATTGTGATGGTTATAAAACAAATCTCTATGTGTGCTAAAGTTACAAAAGTATACATGAAAGGGAAGAAATGCCTATTTTCCTTTAAGGTGATTTTAAAAATAAAAAAAAATACATTATATATATATATATAATATATACATACATACATATATACATACATATATACATACATATATACATACATACATACATACATACATATATATACATACATACATACATACATATATACATACATACATACATTCATATATACATACATACATTCATATATATATATATATATGATGATGAAACTGTTGTCTCCAGCATCCAGTGATCCTAAGCACATCCCTGCTTCTACCTGAACTAGCTCTTGAAAATGTTGCAATGTTCCAATATTGTATCCATTTCTACCAATTCCCCCTGATCCCCCAAAAGAGATGGAGACTATGTATTTCACTGGGACCATTTACATGGAAAAGCAATGTTTTCACACAGAGAGCGCATTCTTCAGAGATGCTTTTTGTTCATTTCAACCTTTTCTGTTTTCCATCACATTATTTGTTGTTGTTTGTGTTTCTTGGAGATTCAAAACCTCTCCATTGTATGAGAGGTTATTTTTTCTCAGCCTTTCCATAAAATAATCATGTTTCCCTCATTTCCTCTGAAGGGGAATGCAAGCATCTCTGGAAGTTGGATAGGTAACCTTGAGTCTGTGCAATATTCAGCAGGGAAATTCTTGGGACTTGGGCTCACTTTATTTGGTGGAGGCCAGGAATAAGCATTTTGAAAACACATTCTTGATAAGACTGTGCCAGGAGGTGCAGGGACAATCTCTGTGAAATCATGTGGGATTTGAATCTGGGGGATATCTATGTGCCTGCCTCTGTCTTTGACTCTCACTCTCATTACTTGTCTGAAATTCATAATCCTCTACTTGACTGTTTTACACATCACAGTGTTTCATCATATTCTGTCACATGAGTGAGTCTTGAGCATTGCTACACCCGTCAAAGATGCCATCTGCTGCTCCTTGTCCACCTGAAGTGTACTCTGTTCATCCCACCCATGTGCTGTTGTCTTTGTGGTCAGAGACTTCATAGCACTTGTGTTATAAGCAACCCTAATCCCATTGTTCTTGCCACCTGTGACTGGCTACCCTCTCCTTTTTATATTTCTAATACATTACTTTCATTACAACCTTTTAGTTACTTAAATTGTTGTTTTTTCCTCTGCCTTCAATTTTTAGTTGATCAGAATAATGTTTCTTTTGGTCAAAAACTATCTGGTTGAAATTAGCTTGGAATTGGTATAAATTCTTTTGCTCAGAGCTTTTATTTGTATTCTTTTGTTTCTCATTCCTAGGATATTTTTCTCAAGGCTGTGATGGGTGTCCTGGGACCTTTATGGTGCCTGTCACATGGTGAATGTACCAGATATACCTCTTGGCTTGACCTTTTTCCTTTCTCAAAGTCCTCTCCTGTGTTAGGTAGTGTGGTATATCTCCCACCTCCATTGCATGCTAATTGAAGGAAAATATTTATAAGTAAACATAGGAACCATGCACGGTAGCATATCTGCAAGGTACAATACATGACTTGGATAATGTATTTGTGTTTTGCTAATGTGAAATACAAGTTTCTGTTTAGAATAAAATTTTCAATGTCAGCAAAAGGTCATAAAATATTTTGAATATTTAAAGTCAGAATAATCCACTGTGGAGTAGTTAATAAAAATGGCTAAAATTGTATTAAACACTTATTCATGATAGGCACTGTTCTTAGCTGAATGAATTCATTCAGTTCTTACCACAGTCCCAGAAATACTTAGTATTAAGTTAATCTATGAAGTAGGAACAATAATGAGATATAGAGCTCTTACGTAACTTGACTAAGTTATCGAAAGTAGGCATAATGACAATAGCAATAATGATAAAAAGAGCTTTCCTTGACTGAACATGTTAATTCAGCAGATACTATGATTTATGCTTATAGTTTTATCTGTAAACTAGGTAATCTAATTCTCAAGCTATAGGTGATAAAACTTGGCCTTAGTGCGGTTACTTGCTCTCAAACATCTCAGTAGAATGTAACAAAGCAGAGAAGAATTCTAACCTGGAATTGGTCTCTAGAGCCCAATACCTTGATTCCAGCATTGCATAGTTCTCACTGAAGGAACTGAGTTCATCTTGTACTGATGGTCGTTGTAGAGAATAATGTCCTGACTTTCACCAGGCAAATGGCCATAGGAACCCTGATGTGTGGACTCGCCGGCCTTTTCTTTTCAATGATTCAATATCTTCTCCTGAAATCAGTTGGATAGGAGAACAAAAAACATGGAGTTCTTTATCTTAGAAAAATCTGTTTTGTGGAGGCTCCTGAATTCTCTTTCTCAGCCAAATGTGGCAAAGTCATTATAGGGCAGGTCCCAGTGGCCTGGCCAGATCTTTTCACATTGAAAGGATTTATGATGAGCCATTTGGCACATAAAATAAGGGTTATTTTTCCAAATTTGATTTTGATTTGATCTGTGCTAAATTTGACCTGTCATCTCTGAAGCCCTACTTTTGGACAGCAGCATTTACCCCCCTTTGTGGTGGCGTATTTATTTGTGAAGCCTTTTTATTGTTCACCTCCAATTGTTGGTGAGAATCACTTTTCTCCCCCCTCATGTCCTCAGACTGAGTCTCTGAGGCTTGTTCTTGTGAGGGTTCCAGTGTAGAAGTTTTGCCAGTTATGGATGAAGACAGAACTCCCWTTGTTTTACAAATGTTTTTCTCTCTAGTCGCTCATTTTTGTTGTTGTGGTTGTTGTTATATATTTTAAAGATGCTAGGCAGAATCCAATTTGGTGTGAGCATATTTTTGTCCTTCAGAATACATACTTGACTCTGGAGAGGAAGATGGCATGTTTAAAGTGACCGCTGGTGACCAGACTGCTAGTCTGCTACCTGTTTTTACCAATGAAGTTTTATTAGAGCACAGCCCTGTTCTTTCATGTAGGTGATGTTATATCATCTTGGAGGTCACAAGTGCAAAGGTGAGAAGTTGCAGCACATAGTACCTGTCCACAAAGTGTAAAAATATTTAATAAGTGGCCCACAAGGGAAGCTGTTGGCTGACCCTGATTTAAAGGGAGTCCCCTGCCCCCAATCATGCTGATGAACTGCCCCTGGCACTGTTCTAGTAATTGTCTTTAGCTTTGCTTTTCCAGGAAAGGGAATAAACAGTGGTCTTCCTAGGAATCTTTCTTTTGGATCAACTTGACTGCCTCATTCACTGCTTCCAACTTTTCTATCATGGCTCTGATAAAAATCTTAAGTTCTTTTTAAAAGTTCTTTCTATTCCCAATGTACAACTATAACATGCTAATAAAAAGAATATTAGAAGAAAAAATGCTTTTCCTGGCATTTGTAGAAGTTATGATTGAATGTTTGAATCTTGATCACTCAGAAAATAGCATGGGATTTCTGAGTCGTTTCCCACTTGATGTGCCCTGAACCCACCGAGAAGGCTCATGTTTTCTCTTTATGTTCTGTTTTATAGGAGTCACCGAAGTTGTTTTCAATAGAGGCACACTCTTTTGAAGAGTGCATTCTTTTGTTCTTCATGCAACCATGGATCTGGATAAACCATCTGTCTGGGACTCATTAAAACAGCGGACCAGGCCATTGCTAATCAATTTGAGCAAGAAGAAGGTAAAGAAGAACGCAAACAAGCCCTTAGACTTAAGGGCAAGCCACCATTTGGACCGCAGGCTCAGTCTCTCTGTTCCTGACCTCCTAGAGGCTGAGGACTTGGTTCCAGAGGGTCGACCCTACTCAGGTCCCCAGTCGTCCTACACCTCGGTTCCCAGCAGCCTGTCCACTGCAGGGATCATTCCCAAAAGTAGTAGCAGCTCTTTGAAACAGTCTGAAGAAGAACTGGACTGGAGCCAGGAAGAAGCAAGCCATCTCCATGCAGTGGAAACAGACTCAGAGGAGGTTTACTCCTCTCCTGCTGAGGACCATCGGGCCTCCAGCCAGGGCATCTTTGAGTTCCAGAAACCTCCTCTTAGAGTGGATGCACAAGAAGAGCCTGAGGTGAGACCAGGGCTTGCACTTTCCAGTTTCATTTCCTTCTTTTCCTTTTTAAAATGTATTCTGTGCCCTTGGAAAATTTGGTCAGGGGTCATTTTTTTGTGGTTAGCTGGATAAGGAGAATGTCATTTACAAGAATTCAAATTAATGTAATATCGATTGCACCCAGGGTTCCCATTAGTTTCGAGTTGACCTCTAAGTATTTAAAAACTGTTACAAACAGCCTCTCTAAGACATTTTAAGACATTAAATGCTCTATTGAATGAGTTTTTTTTCCAGTCCCTGGCAAAGAAATGAGGACTTTAACTTCCATTTAACTTTTTGTATAAATGTCTCTGTCAGTTAGTCTGTCTGTCTCTCTTTTTTAATAGACAAATCATGTACATTAGTGTGCCTAAGGAATTTATGAATGTGTGTCTCCCTTTGACTTTGACAGGGTTGGGTCTTCCTTCTATGTGTGAGGATATGTAAGTATGTGTATATTCACCTCTGAGCAGCTTTGCTTGCATTCTCTAAAAATAAATTAAGAAATAAGTGATTCAGCTTTAGTATTTCAACAAGGTTAGTCAGTTAAATGTAATTATGAGACAAAGCTAGTATTTCTATGATGGATTTAATTTAAGTTCTATCACCATCCAGTTACCAAAACATGATTTGAATAATGAATGTAATCAGAAGTTTTTATTTTTTTAAAATTCCTGCAGTAATGGCAGTAAAGTATGTTTCAGTGTCAAAGTAAGAAAGTTAACTGTTTCTCTATCAGGTTACTATTAGAATTGAATAGAAAATTATTTAACTGGGATTTTGGGTTTATTATTCAAATAAAAGCCTGTTGATTATTAAATTTATTTAGGTCTTTCTGGGGGGTGGGTAATTGGATCATGAAGGCTCAGAAGATTGTGTGGCTGTATTCTTTTGGATACGTTACTATGTTAGGGTACCACTACTCAGTAAATTACTTAACTGTATTTTTCTTGAACATTAATATTTATGAAATCTTTTTTGTAAAACTTACTCTTGTTTGCAAATTTAAATTATGTGTTTCCACTAAACAAAATTCAAAGTTTTCGAATTACTAAATTATTTCAGTATGGTGAGGTAACATGTTGAACTCTATACTGAAATTAATCTTCATTATCTTTTTACTTATTACCCAATAAGCAAAAATAAGTGGACTTCTTGGCTTTGCTATGCTTAAGTTTCCAGTTAGAAGGATTTTTAAATTAACTGCAATCAAACTGAGCACTGTGGAACAGTTTTCCCCTTTGTTTGAATATGTGTAGGTATTTGAATGCTGCTCTAGACTAGGTGCTATAAATGGAGAGCTTGGGAGTGGACATGGGTAAGAAGGTGACTGTGCTCAAGCTATGAGCTTTGGGGAGACAKCCTTGCACCACACAACATGAGGCAATCAGATATTAGAGCTATTCTTGCAAAGCTTCTAAGTCTGATCCCCTAGCAGCTTAGTAGAGTGGAGGGGAATCAATGTGTGGGGGATGGGCACATATCATGTTGAGGCAGTGTCCAGGCTGGCAGAGGGATAGCACATTAGCCAAGCCAGGAAATGTGACCAACACTGACCTGAAGTGTGGCTGGGTGCTTTTGGCCATGGTGAGCATTCTGTCCTATCTGGTAAAGAGGCTTCTTAGGAAGCTTTCTGGAAGTGATGGAGGAAGGATGGTTAGTGGGTGTTGGCTGTTTGCTCACAGGCTAAATACAGAAATCCTGAAATAAGAAGAGTCCTTCAAGAGTAGTTTATTCTGGATCATTTGATTTTTCTGTTTTAATTTGGCCATTTTTTTAAAAACAGTATCATTCTTAAAAAAAGAATCTTTTATTTCCCTTCTGCAGTTATAGGAGATAGGAGATAGAGACTAATATCAATTATCTTACCTAAGATTGAGGTTCTCGTCACTCAAGTGTCATTTATCTGCTGGTTTCATTTTTTTTTTTTTTTCTGCAGAGGATAGAGGGACTGAGCTGCAGCTAATCACCCCTAGGATTACCTGCAGTCAAGTGTGCAGCTCTGTCCACCCTCCCCTCCTCCCCTGCTTCTCTCTCCACTGCGGTTTATACTGTGTGGGACTCTCCCACTACCTGAGGATCCAGAGTTTATCAAATGGTAGAGAAGCACTACACCCCTAATTATCTTCTCTACTAGGATGGGTTAATGCAGAGAATGGGCATGGCCGGGAGAGAATCCTCTAATTTGCCTTCTGTATCCAAGGCTTAGCTTCATACCTAACAGGCAGTCTGAGCTCAACCACCCACTTGTTTAATGTAAACACTAATCATGGCAATATGTATCCTCACATGAATAGAATTTTTGTTAGTGTTTTTCCCATGAATTTTCTCTAGGATTTAATTGAATCAACCTTTTGTTAATATATAAATTTTCATTTAGAAATGAAATCTCCTTTAATATGATGGTAAGTGAACTTACAAAGAAGTTTAGGCAGGTGTAGCTGCTGTACCCCAAGCCTGATGCTAATCTAAAATATGATTTTTTTTTCTGCTTTTTAAAATACAGAAGTCCTGCTGACTGCATGCCATCTGAGAGTCTTGAAGTCAGTTAGTCTGTATCTTGGATCTGCACATCTGTTTCTCATGAATAGCCTAAGGCTTTCTACAACTTTAATGGAATGGGGGAAGAAAGGAGGAGGAAGGAAGGGGTTGGCATGTGACCAATCTGGTGTACAGCAAGGACACTCAGAGGCTTGCCAAATATCCTTGGTGTAACTTATTTTGTTTGCAGCTTTCCAGAGGGGATGAGGCAAAGGACATCTGTGGTCTGAGGGACCCATTAGAGAGTTGTCGCACTTGTTTTGTGCCAGTGCTGGTTTGGTGCCAGGTTGAACCTACAGCGATGGGATAGGACCTCGATTATCAGTCATGTCTGAATTCCACAGTTCCTCTCCAGTCCTGCCAGTGTCAGCACAAGAAGTGAAATATTGGTTGATGGTTATGGGGGAATGGAATGAGGAGACAAAGTAGGAAAGTGGTGATGCAGTGAAAGGGAGATGGGATGTCGGGGTGTACAAGAGAGGTGCAGCTTCAAGTTGCCAGTGCTGGGGTTCAAACCAGCCATTAAATGGAGAACGCAGACTTAGGAGAAATGATGTGGTGGCTGAAGAGGACCCTGCCAGACCTCCCTCCTGAACCCTAGATTTTTATTGTTTGTATATCCCCCAGAAACCTTGACATAATTTTCTGTTAAAACAATTGACACTTCCCTGAAGTGTTCCCCCAGATACAGACAATTGTTTCTCGGCAACTTTGTTGTCACAACGTTTTGCTCAATCCCAAGTCCTGTGAACAACGGGGGAGTGTTTTTCTTTCCTCTCTTTTCACACTTTATGAAGCCTTCGTTTATCCATCTCCCATCTGCTCCTTCCTCCTTTTCACCCTTCATCTTCCCTTACAGAAATCCCTTTCATCCTCCCAGGCCAAGGTAACCTCTTCCTTTTCTCTGGTGCTTTTCCCAGCTCTGCAAACAGTAGCCTCACCTGCTTTCGTTTTCACAGCATGCTGCTTTTCCTGTCACTCAACACTAGCGTCAGTCTTTGTGTAGAAAGTGGTAGAGAGAGGAAGGGATGACCACATGGAGAGGAAGTGAATTGGTGCTGGGCAAGGGTGATGTTGGGTAAGGGCATCACTGACTTTGAGAAGATCACTCTGCTCCAAGACCTGGGTCAACTGTCTAGTGGACAGCTGCTTTGAGGACTGACTCATACTAACCAATCAGTCATGACACCACTCTACCACTAGCTATCACAAGTAATTTGCAATGAGAATGAAATACTGGGTAGCCACTAAGGTTCCTTTTGATGTAAACAGCTTCTTCTTTATTGTTGTGAAGGTCCTTTGGAAGTCAAATTGTAACCAAAGTCAACTTTATTAATTGGTTGTCTCAGGGCCTGGACATGTTTCCCCAGTGCCAGTCTTTATGATAAGTCACTTTAGAGTCAGGAGGCTGGTGCAAGTGAATCTCTGCAAGGAGGGTGGATGGGTTCTGTGAATGGCATTTGGTGCAGTTTGTCTCACAATGAGGATTGAGCTGATGATGAGAACGGGACATCCTTGCACCCCACCTCAGGGCCATCTTCCTTCTGCTTTACAGGTGACCCAGCTAGCTAACAGAGTTCGGACTCTCAAAGTTCTGTGGCAGAGGTGCTCTCTTCCCACTGAGCACATCTAAACTTTTACCCAGGCTTCTTTGCATGGTCCCTCTTTTTCTGATTGACACACTGTTTCATTGATTGTATATTATCACTTTCTGTCATGCTGATGCCTTATCAGGGTGAACTGGTATTCACATTATCTCCTTTATGTGACTTTGTACATCTGGGCTTTGATGGACGAAGAATGGTTGCTATGGACTGAATTGAGCCATCCCCAATTCACATGTTGCAGTTCTAGCCCCCAMCCCCCCACCATGCAACTGTAGTGGAGATATGGCTTTTAAGAGGTGATTTAGGTTAAATGAGATCCTAAGTCTGGGACCCTGATCCAATAGAAGTGATGTATTTATTGAAGATACCTCCRAGATTTCTTTCCCCACCATGTGAGGACATTACAGGGAAGCTGGTCATCTACAAGCCAGGAAGTGGCCTTGAACAGGAACCCAGTGGGACAGGACCTTGATCTTGGACTTCTAGATTTCAGAAGTCTGAGAAAAAGAGAATTCTGCTATTGAAGCTCCCAGTCCGTGGTATTTGGCTATCACAGCCATTACTGAGTTGGTGGTTTTACAATTTCATTCTCAGAGGATGATCAGTGAGATCATCTGAGACTTGAGGCTGAGGAGGAAGTAAGAACACTTTAGAATACTGTCAAACACCCCTCTCCACTCCCACACATAGTCAAATACACACACACACACACACACACACACACACACACGTATAAAATCGTTGTTTGGAAGTTTTTTTTTTTTTTTTTTTTTTTTTTATCTGAGAGCTCCCAAGAGGTAGAAATGATGCCTTCTTATTTTTCTCTACCTC